CCTTCATATGAAAACAGGGCAGAAGGGTGGAAACATTTCTTTTGTCATTTTTGTTTCTTTTGACGTCTATTTCCTATCGGTTTTTATCCCTGCTGGTTTTGGATTCCTAAAAACCCAGAAAATCCAACTTGAACCCTTGGTGGGTTTTATGCAGAACCACACTGTTCCAGCTGCAGGGTGTGAAAATGATGACTTCTGACACTCTGCTGCTGCTTTTCATTAGCATGAGTGAAGCTGAAGGTGTTGGCATCGCATCTGAATGACCGAAGCAGAACTGAAGCTGCAAACGTTTAGAGAGATCCGGGATCAGAACTTCCGGACCGTCTGGTTCTTTCTGGGTTGTTTTAATTATTTGCTGAGAAACCTGCAGAAACAGCGCCACCGTGTGGAGAACCAAACATGAGCCCAGATGTTCTGGGCGTTTCTCCTCTTCCTGTGATCACCTGATCATTGAAAGGAGTTTTGTCTGATTTTCTCTTATTTCAGTAAGAAAAGTGAATTTACTTCAACCTTGAATCTCGTCTGGCTCCGCTGGACACAGTGGTTCCTCTCCACTGTCGCCACGTGCTTGCTAGGATTCAGATCACCTCAGCTAACCTGTTCAGATCAATCATCAATCAATCAAGTTTATTTGTACGGCACATTTCAGCATCAAGGCAGTTCAAAGTTTTTGACAAAAAAATAAAAAAAAAAATCAAGAAGTTTGCAGTTTATTATTAACAATATTACAATTTGACTGGATTGTAAATATCCTCCAAAATGTCATAGAAATATTTTAGTTTGTCACAGGAAAAAGAAACTAAATATTCCTCAAAATGTTGATTTACATCTGATTGGTTCAGAAAGTTAGTTTTGAGATGAAACGTCATCAGAAATCAGTTTGTGGAACAATCCTGCCACCTGCTGGTCACTGTGGGTGTGACGTTAAAGGACGTCAGAAACCTATCTGCAGTTTTCAGCAGATAAACTAAACTTGGTGACCAAACAGTGAAGCCAAAATTGAAACATCGTCATTGAAACTCAACTGAAGTTCCTCTGCAGCAGCGGATGTTGATGAAATCTGCAGCTCTGCCTCCAGCACAGGTTTGGAAATGGTTTCTTTTCCTGACGTCACCATGAGGTTTTCAGGTTCAGTCCACGTTTTAATCACAGCTGGAGAATGATGCCGCTGAAATATTGAGGAAAAAATGATGAAGAAAAAACGGCAGAATGCGCAGGGATTTTAAATGTGTACTCATACAGGGAAGTTTACCAGAGAATGATTTCATCTCTGGATATGTCACTTCCATCTTAAACTATTGAAATATTTTAGCTGAGGTCTGTTCCGCTCAGTGACCAGCAGATGGCAGCATTTCCATTTGAATAAGTCTTTTTTCAGGATCAAAGTTCCATCTGGTGAACATTTAATACAAAAATCAAATTCTGACTCTTTAAATTAAAAAAACACAAAAATGCACCAGATTTTTATTAAAACGCTGGTTGGGAATAAAAATAACCAGTCATAAACTGGGACGATGGAAATGATCTCCAGTCAGTGGATGTTCAGGTGTTGATCTGAACAGCAGGGGGCGCTGCAGAAAACTTTAGATGACATAAAATAAGAACCAGAGTAAACAGTCAGGTTGTAGCAGCGTTTCTCATTCCATTCTGGGTTTAAAACATATTTTTCAGACGCTTTAAGGTTTGATTTCAGCAGATCTGTTAGTTTCATTCTGCATGGTGTCAGATATCGTTCTCTGTCTGCTAAATGTACTGCAGGCTGTGTTTACATGCACAAGGTCAGAGGTCAACTGGTCTCTCAGGTGATTTTTCACAGCTGAAGTGTTTTCAGAGCTGGAAGCTGATCATTCAGGAAGCAGCTCCAAGCCTGGAGTCACAGGAGGAAACTGTCTTTTCTTTACTGCACTAATTTGTACTTGAATAAAGAAATCCCAACCTGCAGCCCAGTCAGTGAGTATTTAGCATCAACGTAGATATAGATAGATAGATAGATAGATAGATAGATAGATAGATAGATAGATAGATAGATAGATAGATAGATAGATAGATAGATAGATAGATAGATAGATAGATAGATAGATAGATAGATAGATAGATAGATAGATAGATAGATATAGATAGAGATAGATAGATAGATAGATAGATAGATATAGATAGATATAGATAGATAGATAGATTTACATTTTCCAGACTTGTAAGTCTTGTTATAGAAATGGTGTATAGGTCAAATATGACTTAAATAAATATTGCTTCCTGATGTAACACCTAGAAATTGGGCCTCTGTCTCTTTAAGAAGCCCCTGCTCTCTCCGAAGCACCGCCTCCAGGAAGTCGTCTCAACATGGCTCCTCTATTAAGCCTTTAATGTTTTTACCAGAGATGCAAGAGATGTAGTTTTATTTGTCTTGTAGTTACTAATGTATCTGAGCTGTAAGCATTAACCTGTGAGAACTGAGAAAAACACAAAATCTGTTATTGTCAAGTATAATTTCACTGATTTAAACTGTTTGGTTCAGAGCTTATAAAAAGTTTCTGGTCTAACTGAGTTTAAAAGTTTGATTATTTTTACTCCTGATGTTTCATATGTTTTAAGGTTTGTGCTTGCTGAGGCAGAGAGGAGTCCTGGTTTTATCGGGAGTTTTTAATGAAACATGGATGTTATGAACAGACACGCCTCATTGTTTATTGGGTTCCTCATTTTTTAAATAATTTCTCATTTCAGAGTGATCTTCATGCTGTCAGAGGCGCAGCGTGCGTGACGCCCCGTCCGACTGCTTTTTGACCTTGATGCTGACCTTATGCTGCCGTCAGGCTCTGACTTCCTCTGCTCTGACGCTTTGGATTTGTTTTGCACTTCTGCTTTCTCTGACGTAATGAAACTTTTCCTAAATGTCATCTTCGACATAAATGCTTTTCTCTCTTTCACATCAGGTTTTTCCCTTTCGCTGAATGTAAAACCACAATAAACATCAGATGATTAAGACTCATGTAAATATTAGGGCAGAAATCCCCTTTAAATGTTATAGTAGAAGAAAAGCAGATGACTAGTAATTAGAGGGACTTTAGCTAAAAGGGGAACACTGTTAGTTCTGACTACATGATTAATGTCTCTGACATGTAACACAAGTTTCTTCACTTCATTTAAAATCTGGATTAAAGATGAGCTGAAAGCAGCTTCACATGAAAACTGAGTCATGTAAAAATGTAAATAATTATTAGGAGATTCATTCAGACTAAACAAATCAATCAGTTTTTATCACAAATCAAGTCTTTGGAGAAGGAGATCTGATGTTCATAAAAACGTTTGCTTTATTTTCTGTTCAGTCAGAGTTATATATCTTTATGAGATTTTATGATTCAGGTTTATTCTGTTGGATTTTGGTCGCAGCAAAGAGATGAAACATGCAGATTCATGTAAAGGTTGCAACTAAATATAATAAATAAGAGACCAAACAGTCTTATTTATCCACAAACGTTCAAACTACAGGATGTAACTTTTACAGAAATATGTTTTTTACACATTTATTTGAACTGTCATCGTGTCCTGACACTGTAAATGAGAAACGGTGAAAAGATTGAGCTGCTCCTCCTTCCTGTGATCCATCTGAAGAAATGCAAAGCAACCAATCAGAGCCAGGAGGAGGAAAAAAGATGGTTAATAAAGTTTTCTTTTCAAACTGAGTTGTTTTTTTCTTCCACTTGTTCTGATCTTGTTTACTGTTCACTGGAAGCTCCAATCTTTATACATTTATGTATAAGGCAGCTAATTATTGTCCTTGGCTGTGATTAGCCGCCTTACTCTGGACGAACAAATGGAGCCAGAATCAATCGATCCTTATTTATACATCACTTTTTATACAGATTAGAAACGATTGAAACAATTCTGGTGCAACAGTTGCATTCATTCATAAAGCCAATTTGAAAACGGCGCATACTCTACAGTATTTCAACACATTGGTTTACAACGGTTTCCAGACACAACAGACTCAAAATAATCAAATCATAAAACAGATAAAGCCCCCAGATAATCAGATCATCTTCAGTTTCAATCCAAACTATATGCTTTATTTCAGTTTATGTTCTTCATGCTGAAAACATCAGAGCTGCTGTTTGATCACTGAGATTTTCATTGGAAGGATTTTTATTTCATCCTGAGTGCTGAAGAAAGTAAACATCCGGTCAGTGAAGGTGCGTGTGAGGGTGTGTATGTGTGTGTTAGTGTCCAGATCAGAGAAGGACAGCTTTCCTCCATCATAGTCCAGATTCACTCTGACCCTCTGGATCTTTTTCTGGACAGAGAGAACGGTGACACTGCTGAGTATTGACCATCATAGCCGACACCCAACCATCCATCCCGTATAAATTTCTTCCTCTGGACAGACTCTGCCAACATGCCAAGCATCCAGTCTTCACTGTCTCCAACCTCAACATCCCAGCTGTGGATCCCGGAGTTAAAACCCTCAGAACTGAGAACCGAACAAAAGCGAGCAAACCTCTCTGGGTTGACAGGAAGCTGCTGTTCTCTCCATATGTCAAAGTCGTCAGATCTTCAGACAGCAGGAGTTCTGGATTCGCCGTGTTTGGGTCCAGAACCAGAGGAGTATAGGTCACCATGTCCTTCATGTTGCTCCAGATGTTGAAGGCCAGGTTGCCCAGATGTTTGGCCTGGTCTATCAGAGCTCCTGAGGGCAGCTGTGGATCCTCCAGCAGGGGGCAGCGCTGGACTCTTTCCACTGCAGCCTTGTAGTTGTGCAGGAATGAGACGTCTTCAGCTCTCAGCTCCTCCTCTGTGGCTCTGACTGTGTCTGAAAGAGCTGCTATCTCTCTGCTCAGAGCCTCCATCTTCTCCTCCATCATCCCTCTCTTCTGCTCCTCTTCCTCCCTCAGTGCAGCCAGCCTGGCCTCCTCTTCCTCTGCTAGAAACTGATGAAGCTTCTTAAACTGCTCAACAATCTGCCTCTCTGTGTGTCGGGCCTGGACCATCATGTGTTTGCTGTCTGATCAAACTCCTCTTTAACTTCCTTCTTCTGCTCCAGTTTCTTCTTTAAAGGCTCCAGAGATGTTTTCAGATTCTCTCTGTGATCCTGAGCAGCTTCATCGATGGCTCTGAATCTGTGCTTGATGCGTTTTTCTGAATCTCTGCAGACGAGACAAACTGGCTGCTGATGGTCCAGACAGAAGAGTTTGAGTTTCTCAGAGTGCAGACTGCAGAGACTCTCTGAAGCTTTTTGCTCTCTCTGCTCTAAGAATGATTCACAGAGTCTCTTCAGAGCCGGATTTAAAGTCGGTTCCTCTCTTGAAGATTTCCTCTTGCAAACTGGACACTCTCCTGCTGGTTTCTGTCTCCACCAGTTCTTCAGACACTCCTTACAGAAGCTGTGGCTGCATGACAGAACAACCGGATCCTTAAAGCCGTCCTGACAGACCGGACAGCAGAGATCCTTCTCTGGTCTGGAAGCCATTTTGTCTCTGAGTGAAGCTGAAAACACAGAAGGTCCAGTCAGTCACTGAACTCTGAGTTTTTGGTCCAACTCGCCTTCAGTGTGAGCAGCTGGAAGCAGCAGTTTCCTCTTTTCTCTCCTGCAGCTGGACTCACTGAGAGGAAGCTGCTCGTTTGGTCTGGAGGCGAATCTGATCATCTCTCTGAAATGAGAAACAACCAGTTCAGTTCCACTTGTAGGTTCAGTCCAAAGGTCAATAATAAACCTCTGAGCTGCTGTAAAACATCCTGAATTTATCTGATCACCTGAGTGACGTCGGCTCCCACCTTCACCTCCTGAAAGTTAAACGGAATTGGTGACAAAAATGTTCATTTTGGCTGCTGTCATTTTGAAAGTTTCCAGAGGTCATCAAAGGTCAACCAGCCAATTCTTTTATAAAATCAAGCAAAATATAATTTCAATAAAGTGTTTCACATTTGTGCAACTAAAATGTGTAAAATTAAGACTGTTATTTAAAAAAAAAAAGTGTTCATAGGTAACCAGAGATCAATGCTCCACATGAACAAACGCAAACAATATTAACAATGACAACTTCACTCAGGTTTTATTTAACCAGGATAAACTGCATGAGATCAAGTGTCCTGACATCACAAGACTTTTCTGGGTCGACGGAAAGATTGAATAAAAACTTTGAGCCTGAAAAGAAAAAGATTACAGAGAATAATGACGACCTGTTGAATCATAATGTTTGTTTTCTGTTGTGTTCAGTAATCTAAAATCTCACTTTTCTGTTTTTATATCTTGTATTTCCTTTAATATCTGATAATCTGTGATTATTTCCTGACAGTGAAACACTGAAGCTAGGAGAAGGAGAGCTTTCTGTGAGCGAGGCCGTATGTAAGCAATATCCGCAGCAGGTTTAACTGCCTGATCACAGCTGATAAGGCCAGCAGGTTTGGCAGGGAATGAAATTTCCCTCTTTCCAAAGCAAACAGTACGCCTACAGTCACTTTAACTGTTTCGGGGTTTCCAGCGGCTCTGTGACACTTTCCCTCCATGTTGCTAATATTAGTCTGCTCATGCTGAGTTTTCATAGGCAGACAGTTCGCAGCAGGTATTTAGCCTTTGGGTTTTCCCCGCTTCATGATGTTCTTTTCTGAACTTGTTTCCTTCTCATCATGGATGAAATGAAACAGGAAAATCCCCACCTTGTGTCCCAGCTGTCAAAAATAATAGAAACACTGATTCCAATCATTTTCTGAAGATAAGCAGTTCTTACAGGCTGTCCCCAGAGAGTGAGGCTCTCCTTTCTTCCGTTCACTTCCTGAGCTTTGATGCATCTTTCGGGCCGCTGCTGCCGGTCCGTCCCATGACCGACTCACACCTGGAGGCGAGTCAGCGAACACCTTCACGCTGTGGGAGGAAACTCAGGAAAACGTGAAAAACCCACACGGAAAGATGAGGTTTGATCCAGAATCCTCTTCATGTGTGAATTTCTGTCCCCAGATTTAAGGCTTAATTGGCATTAAGCAGCGAAAACTCAGTCATGAAAGTATAAAATACCAAAAACCTCTAAGAGATTCTATTAATAAGCAAATTTAAGCCTTGCAGAATTCACACATTAACATCCTGCTGTTTTATAATCAATAAAAATATAAATGTATTTCAAAGGATAGAGAAAGTATTTATGATTAGTCTGCATATGAGCCATTTGTTATTATCACTGAATAGTTAAAATAAACTAAATATATACTTTAGATGGTTAAAATATCATTTAATTACAGTAAATGGAACAACAAATAAATGTTAAAGCAGCAACTGATGAATAGGATGAAAAATGTATCATAAAATGTTTGGTATGTTGAATCTAATGTGGAAAAATTTAACTAAATAAAACAGCAGCAGATTTTAAGCCTGATTTTGTTTTTAAAAAAATCTGTTTTATTTGAAAAAGAACATATTTACTGCAAATTAAAATATATGTCCCAATGAATCAGGTTTTTCAGATTACCTTTTGAAAATAACCTTTAAGCAGGTAACTTCATTAAACCCACATTTCTGTTTTTTAAAATAGTTTCTTTATTGTTTTGATGAGTTATTTCCATTTTAAATTATGTAGAAAACTATCATAATTAAAATAAAGGTATCTGTGTGTAATTAATGTATGTAAAGTGTTTCACTCAGTGATTCAGTTCCTCAAATATGTTAACTTTACAATAAGAATCAAATTAACTCAATGGGTTGACTCAGCCTCAGAGGAAAACACAAATCTTTCCAGAAAAACATTTGATAAAATATATGTTGATTTTACATAATCAATGTCTAAATTTTGTTTTGGTTCAGTAAATGTCAATAAAATCTATTTACCTCAGAACAACAAAGTTCCAGTTTGGTCTTGATAGAGAAACTGTTTTGTTTTTAGGTAACTAATGTGATTTATGAAAGTGAAAACAGAGACCATCAGAAGAGAAAAGAAAGAAAAGGAAAGAAGGATGCAGACAGGAAAACGAAATAAACTCTAGTGGTGAGAGAGTGAAAGAGTAGAAAGGAGGAAGGAAATGTCGTCACCCTGAGTTTCTCTGAAGCAGTGGAGAGAAAAAGCCCGTCAGCTGCTTCAGCTTTCCCTGGAACAGACAGAAAACCCTTTAGTGGCGGCTTCATAACTCAGAGAAATTCAACCAGTGTTCTTATCATTCATACAGTCATTTTGTTTAGAGGAAAATGAAAGTGGTCCGTAACACCCTGAGTTAGATAAGATAACTGTGGGGTTGGTTGTTTTAAAGGTTTGTATTGTTATTAACTGTCATAAAAACAGAAGAATACAGAGAAAGAAAGCAGCTCCACTTTAAAAAAAAAAAAAACAGATGTTTTCATGCTAGAGGACAGAAGCTGCTTCCTGTGTTACCAAAACCAGATGTCTGAGTGGCTCTACAGCTTTACATGTTCTCAAACAACAGATTCTGGACTAGATACTTTATTATTATGGCAATTTCCAAATAGGTAAAAATATAATTACTGTGTTATTTCACATACATAATTACAACATTGTACCATAAACAGTGGAAGCCACTTTTAAAACATTATCAGTCTGGTTTTCAAGTAAATAAAGTAGTTTCTTCATGCACATGGCAACAGTTTGTTTTACACGATTCGTTATAAACACAAACCAGTAAATAGAAATCTGTATACAGGTATTTAAGGCAACTTTTGGTGAATGTTTAATTTTGAATTTAAATCTAGTTTTAACTCTCATAATTTCAGCAGCCAAAGAGGTTTTTATAAATTTTTTTACCAGAAGCGGCAGTAAACCAACACGTCTTCGGTCCTGATTTACAGGAACCATTGGGTCTGAACATTTGTTTCAGGCAGTGTTTTGCCCATCTGAGGAGCAGAAAAACTAAATGCTGCTTCACCTCTTTTGCTGGAAACACTGGGTTCTGGGCTGGGATCAAATAATTAAACCCTCTTCAATATGGCGGCTGCGTTGACGTGACTGCTATAAAAACAAGCAGAATCCAGGCTGCCTTCCCCCACCAACATGGCGGAGTATTTTTTTTTGTTGTTTGTTGCTGAGGGGCGGAGCCAACCTGTTGGATTACGGAAAATTCTGTGACGTCACGGATTTTGATTGGTTCCGTCACTCCATGTGAAGCATAGAGGAGGGCGAGCCGGCGGCTGAGCCCCAGTAGAGATCCAGCGGTCAGCGGAGACTCACGCAAAACAAACGGCTAAAGCGACGAACACCGGAGCAGACGGAACCTTTCTGGACTACATTTGGACCCAGGAGCAGTGAAGACTAGCCAGTCCGAACCGGAGCCGGTAGTTAAATATCCGCGCCGCAGTTTTATCTCCAGTTTGTGATCCACACGCAGTGAGAGGACAGCCATGATTTTCCCCCTGTGCCTCGTGCTGATGCTGTCCGCCTCCGTCCTCTCAGAGTCGGTGAGTCCATCAGGCCGAACCCAGCCGAACCCAGCCCACTGCTTTCTGGGCTTGGTTTCACGGGTCCAGCTGTGACTTTGGTTGATTTTTATGCGTTTTGCGGTGAAGCTGCGGGTTTTCACACTCGGACTCCCGCAGCCTGCTCCCATTATCCCAGATGGGGCCGGGAAGGGGGGCGGGGGGCTCCAGAACCAGAACCAGAACCAGACTGCGCAGAGGGAACCCAGATAACGTTTCATCTGGGATCCAGCCTGGTGTTCGGTCACAGAGGCAAATGAGTGTAAATGTGGAGGAGAAAAAGGTTTTCCCTCCTCCAAACATTTGGGAAGAGTTAAACTGGGACTTCCTGTGTTCCCACATCCAGAAGGTTGACTTAATCCCGAAAGAATTTCTGTGCTGCGGGTTTGGAGGAACCAGACTCCTTCCCTGGACTTGTTGGTGTCGGTTTGGGCTTTTCCATGATGTTTGCTGATCCAGCAGCTCTCAGTCCAGAACCTCATTTTTCAATCCCGTTAAAAAAAAAACCAAATCAACAATTATCTAAACTTTTCTTTCAACTTTGGCTGCAGTTTAAAACTCCAGACAGAAATGACACAGTGTTCTGCTGTCTGTCATAAACAGCATTTTGTTAATATTTCCTCAGCTCAGATTGTAAAGATTAACAGTCTGTTGGTCGGATTCGGGCTCAGACCAGCTGATCCCGCTCCTACTCATGTTCAAACATGAATGATCCTTTTTAGTATGAATGTTGAGCAGAAACAAATGTCCTCAGCAAGAGAAGACGTTTGTAAGGAGATTCAAATGTCCAAGATGAAAGGGATGCTGGGTGACGATCATCCATCTGTCATGCTGTGGGCTTGCTCTATGGACAAATCAACACAGAAATTGCTTAATCCAGATTGGGTCAGAGGCACCGTGACGGGATCAGTCTGACCCTATCTAATCGACCCAGTGAATCACCCTGGTGTCGACGTTGGGCTCATGGCAGTGGAAATCCTGGGTGTTTTGGATGGGAGTGGATTTCTTTGATTGGTCGACTGTTGAGGCAGGTACCAGTTTCTCCAGCAACGTGTTGCCACTTCTATAATGGTCCTGGTTCTCCTGGTTCTGGTTGGGTCTTAGTAGAACCGCCGTCTCTTGGTTCTGACCACCATCGGAGGTTTTAGTTATATTCTTGTTCCTCGGTTTAGTCATGTGACCTTGTTGTCTATGAGCAGGAACAGCTGATTGGTCATGTGATCGGTTGGTTTCTGCTAATTTTTTCTGGACTGAGTAAATAAAACTGTGACTTTGTGTGTGTGTGTGTGTGTGTGTGTGTGTGTGTGTGTGTGTGTGTGTGTGTGTGTGTGTGTGTTTTCCCTGAGTGATAATTCTGGGTGGAGGTGGAGGAGTGGTGCTGCGGGCCACCCACAGTCCTCTCCTCCTCCCAGCTCCTGAACCAGTGGAGGGAAATGGCAGTAATGGCGGGTTTAGCGGCAGACCTGCCTGATGGGTTTTCACCCTCCTCCAGTCTTCAATCATCGAAAAGCCGGCAGGAATTTCTAAGATGATCCGATCTCCTCGTTTTTACAGTCTGTGATATTCTTCACCTCCTCCTCTTTTTTTTCTCCTTCATGCTGGAATGTGACCTCTGCTGATCTTGACCGGCCCTCTGGGGATTTTACACACTTGGAGGGATCTCAATAGGGCCTCGGGGTCTTTTCACAGGGGACGCTCCTTTCTCGCCGGGCCTGGTGTGGAAACACCTACAGCTTTCCCACCAAAACATTCCCCCTCATCCCGTTTCTCCGGCTCTGTAAGCGAAGCTTCAGGCTCTCGCCTCCTCGGCCCGTCGCTCCGTCTTTCTTCCCTGTTTTCCCGGCTCTTTGAAAAGCCTTCCCTCCGCCTCCCTCTCACTCGCCGCCTTTTCATCTCCTGCTGAGGTCATCGTTGGTATGTGGCTTCGGCGTTCCTCGCTAATCGATAACAATGTTCCCTCACCTGACAAAAGAACGTGCTCTGAATGCAAGCAGAGCCATGGGAATGATCGGAATGTGTTTGAGGATTAAGTTGGATTTCTAATCCACTGGAAACCAAACAGGAAGTTTTTGGAATCGAAGGATCCAACCTTGGTTTGTTTCGGTTTAGTGTGGAGAGACGGAGCCAAGCGCATCCGGCTGTTCCAGCTTTCCGGCCTTGTCAGCCTGAATGTTTTCTGCTCCTGTTGGGATACAAGTTGGAACGGGTCCTTCCTGAGCAGGATGGGGGTGGGAGACGGGAAAGCACCGGAGGATCTGAGAAAAATTATCCTGCCTTTAAATAAAGAAGTTATTGTCTCACGTGAGAGTGAAGGAGAGCGAACTTCCTGTGGCTCGTTGAGGCGTGACTCTCCGGTTTGATCTCAAATTGGTTTTAATTGGCTCTATTAATGCAGATTAAAGGCTGTTAATCAGTGGAGTTAATCCAGCAACCCTCGGCTTGTTGGCTCCTTTCTGGTGGATCTTGTAGGAATGTGGCTGGTTTGGCATTTAGCCTCTCGGATCATTTGCAAGAGAATGAAGCAGGATTTTTAAAGGAAGTTTTTTCTTTTTTGTCTCCTTTGCATGACGGGGCGCTGTGAAAGCCGCCGCGTTGAAAGGATGAAGGGAAGGAGGGGAGCATGATAAATAGTATGACTAGGATGTAATAATGGTTCCTGCTTTGCTGTCCGCTGGTCTATAAAATCCCTTTGGGCCCAGGAATGTTGGCACGGAGAGAGGAGCTTTTTGTCCTTCCTGGCTGTGCTGGCGGGCCGCCGAACCCGACCTCCCTCCACCCCGTCCAACCGCTGCATACTCTGGCAGCGCCGACGGGAACTGTACGGGCGCATTTAGCTTTAAACCCTCGTATCACTTTCATCCCTCTTCTTTCTTTGAAAGAACTGTAATTAAACTACTTCCATGAATCCTGCAGGAACTCTGGACAGAACCAGGAACTCTGGACAGAACCAGGAACTCTGGAGACTGGAGACATTTTCTGTAGTGGTTGGACTGGATTAAAGTTTTGAATCAAGTTAATTGTAGGGTTATTATCGCAATTTAATCAAACTATGTATCAACAAAAAACATTATTGAATAACTGGCCATATGAGCACAAACACAAAGACATTTCTTGTTTTTATTCATCTTAATCCACCGTCAAATACTTTTTTTTCAGAAATCCTTTAGAAACGTGAACGGTTTGCGCTGACGTTAGCTTTGGGACGTCTGTGCTGCTGAAACATGTTCAGCACTGAGATGCTGCTTTAGCCCTGAACAGCTTCGCTGATTAGCTAACTGCTGTTAGCACAGCAACAGAAGTTGATCCTGGCTGAAGCTTCAACCTGAGCGCTGTTACCGGAAACTCGTAAAGACATTAATGCAGTTCGGTTTCGTCTCTGAAGGGATAAATGTGAGAACGTTTGGGTAAGATTCACGTCCCGATTCCAGTGTCCTTTCCAAAGACCTGTTTCCAGTCTGATTAGGAAAACCTTTGTTTGCTTCATCGGTTAAATCAAATATTTTCAAATAAATGTTACATTCAAAGAAAAAAATTAACTTATAAAAATGTAATGATTCCTCAAATTAACACGTTTGGAGACGGCCTTTAAAACTTCTGAAATATCAACGTTTTCCTTTTTCTACCTTTTAGCCAAAAGGCTTAATGTGGGGATGGAAACTCACATTTTTCTGCCATGTTTAGATTAAATTTCTGAACAGCTGATATGGGAACCTTCATCACTGGGAGATGTTAATATATTTTATTTATACCTTGAAGTCTCTAAAGGTTAAATGATCTGCAACTCCATTCTGCTTCTTTTGTCCCGGGACACTGAATGGACTCGGTTGGCATCTACCAGCAGACCCGACCAGTAATCTCCTTCCTCCTACTGGTCAGTTGATCGTCCAGAACCTCTGAGGTTTTGCTTCCTGACGTGGCTGAAATCGGACCTCCTGCTGTGCAGGAACGTCATGTTTCACCTGTGGTTTATGTTTTTTTGTTTGCCTGCTGCTCCGTTTATTTGCCTGGCTGTGGTTCTGCTCGACGTTTTATTGTTTACCGGCGTGTTTGGCTGTGGAAGCAAACGAACTCAGGTTCTGCTGGTTTTTGCAGCTGTTGCGTAACGTCCTCACACACATCAGATCGGCTGCAGGTCCTCGCCGCGTTTCTGTGACCAGCCGAGTGTCGGCGTGTAATTTTCCAGAAAGTTCTGAGTCGGTGGGGATTCTGACCGTGTCCCTGCCGGACGCTGCAGGCTGACTGACGTTGGATCCCGGAGTGTCGGTTTGCTTTGGCTCCTCCAGAGCCGAGACAGGAATGTGGCGGCTGACTGAGCAGCCGAGACCTGGACTGGCGAGCCGGCCCACATCCAGGCACATTCCTTAGTCAGAACATGCACACACACACACACAGCTACAGTCACACACACACACACACACACAGCTACAGTCACACACACACACACACACACAGCTACAATCACACACACACACACACACACACACACACACACACACACACACAGCTACAGTCACACACACACACAGTCAGCATAAAGCAGCGGTGGACCAGCCGTGCCTCCAGGTTTGATATTTTCTGTTTTTGTTTCAGGGTCAGATCAGAATATAAACAATCCACTGCAGATTCCTTCTGATCAGAACCAGAACCGACTGCTTTGGTCCAGCCATGCGTTCATGTTCTGATTCTAATATTTTCCCTCAGCAGCAGAAATCAGAACCCATCTTCTCTGACGTAATGCCTCCAACTGGCCGAACGGCGTCCGACTGGAAGTCAAAGCTCTGACTGTGTCCATCATCATGTCTTCTTGTCTCCTGGGACTTTTGTTTGATACTGAATGAATCTGATGTTTCCTGATGCTGCAGACCTTTAACACTGCAGATCAGTAGATCCCTCAGGAGGATCCCTATCAGAACCCCATTAGATCCATTTAGCCCAGAACCTCCGCTGCCCAGCGAGGCTGACGCCATGAAACAGGAAGTCTGGGAGAAAACTGAAGCTTCTGCTTCTTCTCAGAAATGACAGACTTACTTCTGGACCAAACGACCGGAAAGTCCAACTGATTAGAACCAGCTAAAGGTACCAGAAGTTGTAGGAAAAGCGGACACGATGTTCTGGTCCGGACTGAAACCGCATGACCCGGCCGACGGGGGTCATGCGCCTCGGGGTTGGAAACGGCGGCGGAGATGTGAATGGAGCAGATGCTCCTGTCCGGGTCGGCAGACGGAGGATTGTTTTCAGTTGGACCCGGCTGGCTCACTCATTGACATGCTGGAGGCATGTCCACATCTTTGTTCCCCGTCACGGACTGGATCCGGTTCTGGAACCTGGGTGGCCCAGGAAGCTGTGATTAGTCTTGAGCTGCTGAATTCATGTTTGAAAAGTTTAGACATAATAAACCTGGAGATGAAGTTTCTGTCCAGGAACATGTAGAAATGTCCCATAACATTTACAATAATGGGACTGAAATGCAGCCAAACTTGGTCTTTGATCTGATTGGTGATCGGCAGCATCCCGGACACATCCCGGACTCATCCCGGCCACATCCCGGCCACATCCCGGACACATCCCGGACTCATCCCGGCCACATCCCGGACACATCCCGGCCACATCCCGGACACATCCCGGACACATCCCGGCCACATCCCGGCCACATCCCGGACACATCCCGGCCACATCCCGGACACATCCCGGACACATCCCGGCCACATCCCGGCCACATCCCGGCCACATCCCGGCCACATCCCGGCCACATCCCGGCCACATCCCGGCCACATCCCGGACACATCCCGGCCACATCCCGGACACATCCCGGACACATCCCGGAAGGATGCAGCCGTTTCTTCCTTTGATTGTTTTCTGCTCCTTCCTCCGCCAGGTCTGTAGTTTGAATCCGCGTAATGAACTCGAGTCACATGACCGCCGAGACCAAACAAGCTCTGCAATTAAGAAGCTTTAGTTGAACAAAGAGCGGTTCTGTTCGGCAGGAACGGTCCGGATGGTGGGAGTTTATCCGGGTCGGGATGATGATGATGATGATGATGATGATGGTCTGGGTTGCAGGTCCGTTCAGAGTGAGAAATAACAGATTTTAACTCTGGATCGTCTCTTAGTTCCCCCTTCCTGTTTGTCGGGTCCATCTGGATGCCAGGTTCTGGTTTGGCTCGGCTCCACGCCCGCCTGCGGGTCACATGCTGCTCATTACAGTCGGAACCGAAGGCGGACGGCGCTGATGTTTCTGTCAGTAAACATCGTCTCTCTGCGGCACATGGTGTCGTTTATTCCCGCGTCTCCATGATGTTTGGACCGCAGCCGGCCCGGCTTTGTGTTCTGCAGCGCCGACACATTTGGTTCCAATCTGCCTGCTGATTGGTTGTGGTGGCGTTTCCAGGGCAACAGCCCTCTTTGGTTAGCCGTCCGCACAGCTTCAGTTTTCATCTCCTGAGCTGAGTGTTGGGCCGGGCCAGGCCGGGCCGCCCGGGCCGGGCCGGGCCGCGCCGGGCCGGGCCGCGCCGCGCCTCGCCGGGCCGCGCCGGGCCGGGCCGCGCTGGGCCGCGCCGGGCCGCGCCGGGCCGGGCCGCGCCGGGAGGAGCCCGCTATTTATAGCGCTGTCCATTGAGCTGCTGATCTTATCGTTTGCAGGCTTTGTTGTGGATTCTGTTGGGTTTCTGCGGATCGACCCGGCGCTGCCGAGCCGGGCCTCACTGGGCTTATTTCTGTCACGGACTCAGCCCGGTTCTGGTCTCCTCTTGCGTAACGGATCCCATCTTCCCGCCCGACTGGGTCCGACTGGGATGACTCGAGTTTCATAACGGCAGGGGGTTAAAGGTCAGGGGCCGCTTGGTTGAGGAGCTGCTATGGTAAACATTAACATGGTGACGATTCCAACCAGTTGGACCAGTTAACTCTAACTGGGCCAGAACCCAGTGTTGCTCAACCTCATGAGTTTCAGTCCAAAATGAGTTCAGCTTCCTGAATGATTGTCAGGTTGATCTGAGGTTCGTTTCCAACCAGATGAAACATTAAAAGTCTCCAGTTTGAACCAGTTACTGATTAACTCACATCCACACAACTTTCCATTTGGCTCTAAATGCATTTTTAAAAAGCAGCAGCTCCATTGTTTGCAGATCGGTTTTGTCAAACATTTAAATGTTTTCATTAACCAATGAATCGGACTGGAGGTCAAAGGTACCTGAATGAAAACGCAAAGTCAGCAAACAACTGCTGCTGACGTCTTCATGCCCTTCAGAATAAGAGCATGCATATAAAACTGTTCTCATCATTATGCAACTGAAAGTTAGTTATTCTTAATTTGTGGTAAAAACTGAAATTGCTAAAAATTATTATTTGTTATTGAGTTGAAATGATTTGTTAGTCTCTGTCGGTGACGTTTGTTGTGAATCGTTGCTTTATCAATGAACCGATTAGAAATGTTGCTGGAGCCAAATCCAGAAGGAATCTGGAATGACTCCAAGCTCCTCCAGTAGCCGGAACAAGCAAGCCTTTGTTCTTCACTTGGTTCTGCTGGTTTTAGTTCTGGTTGCAGTCGGAACAAATATTTACTCACAAACCCAAAATGTTTCCAGTTAAATGCGGCTGAAATATGTCTGCCGTTTAAAGAGAAACAGTTTTCAGGGCCTTTAAACCTGCAGGAAACCGCAGAGTGAAGAGAAGCAGGCCTGAGAGGTGGCCACAGAAACGTGTGACTCATTCCTGGTTTCATCGGCGCGGCTCCCAGGATCAGGACTCCTGCACCGTGACCCGGCAGGCATGTTGCAGCCCGTCCCGGGACGAGGAAACGCAGAACCGCCTGCAGGGACGGAAACGGAGCCGACGGCTGCTCCGGTGTGAATCGACGCGTCGCTGCAGAACTCACATGGAAGCCATTACCAGAACCGTGACGTCAGCGCCGCTGGCCCGGCCCGTGAGGATGTGGCGTCTGTGGTCGACTTTTATTCCCAGAAATTCCTGTTTCTATATATAAAAGCTGGAAGTTTTATTCCTGTTTCAGTTAAATCTGCTCTTGGGTTCAGTTCCCTTAACTGGTTGAAACCGACTCTAAACCACAGCAGTCGGGAATTATCCGTCCAGTGGACCGGTTCGGTTCTGCTGATACCAGCGCCAGTCGGTTTGAAGTCAGAACCAGGAAGAAGTGAAAGCAGGAGTCGTCTTGTCCCAGAAGGAATCCTGATGAAGTTTGGCTGAAACTTTTCACTGCATGTTTTCCCGTTTTCCTTTTCTGCTTCCTTCCTCTGGGAGCCGAACGTTTCCTGCTCTGAGCCATTAGACACACACACACACACAGAGACACACACACACAGAGACACACACACACACACACACACACACACAGAGACACACACACACAGAGACACACACACACAGACACACACACACACACACAGAGACACACACACACACACACACAGACATACACACACAGACACACACACACACAGAGACACAGAGAGACACACACACACACAGAGACACACACACACAGAGACACACACACACAGACACACACACACACACAGAGACACACACACACAGAGACACAGAGAGACACACACACACACAGACACACACACACACACAGAGACACACACACACACACACCACACACACACCACACAGAGACACACACACACACAGAGACACACACACACACACACAGAGACACACAGACACACACACACACAGAGACACACACTGCTTCATCCTTAAAGCTGATTAACTGTGTGTGTGTGTGTGTGTGTGTGTGTGTGTGTGTGTGTGTGTGTGTGTGTGTGTGTGTCTGCTCTCAGTGGGATTAAAGTGCCGTCGGGTCGGGTCTGGTCGGGTTCTCGGTGATGATTCCTGGATCTGAATGTTTAAAGATTCCCAGGAATTCTGGCTCTGTGGTTCTGGACATGAGATCCTTCCTGACCCGTCCGTCGTGTCCCAGCAGGTCCGGGAGACGGAGACATGGATGCCCATGAGCACCACGCAGACGGCTGCCATGTCGACGGACGGCGGCAGCATGGAGGCGTCGGGAGACTCTTCGAACGGCTCCGACTTTGGTTTCTCGGACGATGAAGACGATTATTACGATGAAGAGTACGACGTGTCCGGATCCGGAGAAGGAGGTCGGTTCTGGTTCTTAAAAACAAAACGTTCTTTAAGTTCTGCTTGGATCTAAAATATATTTTTTCTGTTCTCTTTAGCAACCGAATCCAGACCTTCAGAGAAGGTGAGAACGGTTCTGAATGTTGGTTCTGAATGCTGGTTCTGAATGCTGGTTCTGTGAGGTTCTGGAACGAGTTCTGACCCGGTTGTTTTTCCCTGCAGCCCGACTTCGATAACCGGATCCCTGACCTGCTGAACCCGGTGACACCAAAAGACGTCGACATCGTTAAGGACAGAAACGAGATTCCTGAGCTGGGCAGCGAACCCGACGCCAAGGAGGAGAACCCGTCCAACGTCCTGATGTCCCAGGCCAAAGGGGACGGCGTCTTCGACAAGCCGGAGGTCCTGGCAGGTCTGTACCGGCGCCGCCGACCCGCTGGCACTCAGCTCAGACTCACCCAGTTCTACTGTGAAGATGTTGAGCCACTTGGTTTCCCAGTGAAGTTCTCCAGATTAATTCCAGATTAATTCCAGATTAATTCCAGATTAATTCCTTTTTTCTGCTGTTTCTCAAATCAAAACATTTTTTATAGATTTATACGCATCAGTCCTGATTTCTCGCCTCACACTGTTTTACTCACCAATCATTTTATTTAAAACGCAAAATGCAGCAAAAATATTGTAGAACATTTAGATAATTTCAAATTAAATTGGTTGAGTCCAAACTTTTTCCCTGTTTTTTAGTTTTTGTCAACAAAAACCCAAATCTGAATCATTTAAGATCTGAATCATGTTGCAAATGAAAGGAATTCAGTGTTTTAAGTCTCGTTTTGTTTTATTGGCCAGATTTTTGCCGTTCTTGCCTCAAACGGCCCACGGACCTCGCTTTGCTGATGTGCAGCCGACTGAAGGCCGTTTGATGAAATGTGTGTGTTTGTCTGTCTGCTGCAGCTGTGATCGCGAGCTGCGCCGTCTGCCTCATGTTCGCCGTGCTCCTCATCCTCCTCCTCATCTACCGCATGAAGAAGAAGGACGAAGGCACGACCTGGGCAAGAAGCCCATCTACAAGAAGGCCCCCACCACAGAGATCTACGCGTAGGCCCCGCCCCCAGCCCCGCCCCCTTCCTCCCTGACCTCACATACACACAAACACACACCTCAGCCGTAAAACCCGACCGGCCGCAGTGCCTCATCTTCATCACCTCGTGTTTCTTCAGCTGCGTGGCGTCGGTTGAATCTCCACGCCGACCGATTGACTGACTCCGCCTCCTCATGTGTACGAATCTCACTGACCAATCAGAGGCTGAGTTTCCTGGCAGGTCGGAGCGTTTCCTGCGGTACACCGTGTTTCCGGATCAAGTTGAGAGGAAAAAAACAACAGAATGAACTTTTCCAGCTAAACGCTAACATGTTATTTATTCACTCGTCTTCCTCAGTTTCTGTCTCTTTTATTATTTTTCTTTTTTTGATGGAAAAGTTTTTCAGAGTGCTTTTATTTTGAAAAGGCCTGTAGCCGTTAGCTTTGCAGTCAGAGATCACAATCATGTTAATATTTAAATGTATCTGCTGGAGTCAGGACAAACACACGCCTGCTTCTGTTCTGCTCTCATCTGTAAAAGATTTTTATTAAAACCAGATTCTGGCTCCTCGGTCCGTTTCCCTTCCTGCCCGGCGCCAACGGCCCGGGTCATGGCGGGAAAACACGGAGCGCCTCCGCTGCTGGGAAGGAGTGAAAATCCTCAGGATGTTCAGGAACATCACCGCCGTGCCTCCAGTTTGGGACTAAATTCATTTTCATTCACACATCCGGCGGGTTGAAGGTGAAAATCCTCCGTTTTCTCCACATCCTGGAGGTTCTGGAAACCTTCCGTCTGGTTTTGGTTCGGTCAGGGTTTTCCTCGATAAGCTGCAGCGACCGGTTCTCCGGTCGGCCTGAGGCTCCGCGAGCCAATCAGAAATGTTCATTTCTTTATGAAGCTGGTGTTTCTCTGGCCGGACCCGACCGGACCGGACCGGACCCGACCAGACCTGACGGGACCCGACCCGACCGGACCCGACCGGTCCCGAACGGACCCGACCAGACCTGACGGGACCCGACCAGACCTGATGGGACCGGACCGGTCCCGCCTGTAAATAGTCCTTCTGTTGGTACTTTGGCCGCTTCCTGGCAGCAGAAATATCTACCAAATATTTAAATGCCAAATAGTTTGTGTTTCCCGGTAACGCTCATGTGATCGACTGTAAAGTTTTTTTATACTAACGCTCCTCATCCTCCTCGTTTGTTTTCCTGCTTTAGATCAAATTCCCTTTTTGTATTAATTTAACTGTCAAATAATTTTATTGCCTTCCTTCAGGTTTGGGTGTCTGGCCCTTTAAGCTGTTGTACATGTGATTCTCAAAGTTTTATACACACTAGTTTGATTTTCAGAGACCTAGTTTTGAAACAATTTATTTTGTAAGAATTTCTTTGATCTTTTAGGCATTTTTTTGCTTTCATATTTATGTTTTTTGCTGTTTTTACGTGTAGAAGGAGAAATCATCTCGATATTCAGGGGATGTTGTGCGATGAGCCGCGTTGACGGCAGCAGACCTGGGCTTGACCTTTTTCATTTTTCTGTTTTTTGTTACTGAAACAAACCGCCGTGGGCGAGTCCAGGAGGTTCTGTGAGCCGGACCTGAACGCCTGGTGGCGCAGCCGGTGGCGGAGCTCTGAGATTAGCAGGTGGAAAAATAAAAATGTCCGACGTTCCCAGGTCTGGGCGTAGAGAGAAAGTTCTGCTGCTTTATGTCAAACACCAGTGGAGCGAAGAAGCCAATGAATCATTGGTTTCTACATGCAGGTTCTGATTTATTATTGGAAATAAAGCTATTTTTATGCACATTAACAGATTAAACCGTCTCTGTCTTCTGTCTGGCGCCGATTCATCAGGACCTCCAGATTTCTAGACTAAATATGATGCAGAAAGACGAAGCTAAACTAAAAGCAAAAGTTCAGCCTTGAACTTTTTCTGGGAATTATTTACATTTCTGCTGATTAAAGATCAAGTTTTTGCTTCTTTAGAGAACGATGGATTATTCCCAAGAAGGAAAATCCCCATAATCCTGTTGATATTCCCAGCAGATTCGTTTCAACACGTTTGAAAAAAATCAGTTCATAAATTTATTCCACATGAACTCAACACGATTGATTCATTGTTAAAATGAAACTCGAGAGAATGACACCAAAAGTAAAATATTCTTTCAGGTCTTAATTCACTTTCTCTGCATTTCCACAGAAAAAAATAATATTTTTTGGTGTAAAGTTTTATTTCTCTAGATGAAAACCCAAAACCTTAAATAAAGTTTATTTCATTTAAGTATTGCATGTCTTATAGCAGATGTTTATCATAAAATGTTTTTTCCAAACGTTGTGATATTAGCAGCTTTAATGTTTTTGATGCATCAAGTTCAGTTCATTATTAAACTCGACAGAACGGCTCTACAAGTACCAAAAGTATTGATTTTAAAGGTTTTTATTTAAAGCCTGGAATTTAAACACATTTCCTGTAGATCTTTATGTGAAGATATGAAGTTTTTTCCAAATGTCACATTAGTGATTTTAAACCAGCTGAGATCGCAGAGGCCTGAACGAGACAAATGTGACATTATATTGACTGTAAAAGGAAAGAATCAATTGTGCTGCAATGGCCTAGTCAAAGTCCTTTTCCGGAATTGTGCAGAAATCTAAATGAAGAAGCAGGATTGGAAAATCTTCCTGTAGGATCTGAAGCTGAAAAAGCAGAAACTTTTCTGTTCTCCATGTTGGATCTTCAACGCAGCTGAACGGAGCCGGTTCTGTATGTACTCAGGTGGACGGGATGAAAGTCTGATCTCCTCCTCACCTGAACAAACAGCGTTTCCCTCTCGGTCTCAGGTGTGTGTGTGTGTGTGTGTGTGTGTGTGTGTGTGTGTGTGTGTGTGTGTGTGTGGGTGGGTGGGTGGGTGGTGGGTGGGTGGGTGTGTGTGTGTGTGTGTGTGTGTGTGTGTGTGTGTGTGTGTGTGAGTGTGTAATAATGATGCAGCAGTGTGTTTGAGCTGGACCGCTCCCAGGAACGGTGCATTCATCCAGGTTTCGCCTGCGGTGCCGTTTTCCCGGCAGCCAGCAGGCAGCAACATGTTCTGGTTCTGCATGAATGTCAACAACAACAAGCCTGAGTCACAGATGATGGTTTGTTCAGCTTCCAGTGAAACCTCCAGGACCAGACGGGATATTCTCCATGTTCTGACTGGTTTCACTTCTCGCTCCCTGTTTGGGTTTTGGTTTCATCAGCTGCTGCTGCTGCTGCAGCAGCTGCAGCGCATCGTGATGTTTGCTGCAGTTTGTCTTGGTTGGTTGTTTAACTACCAGAGGTAATAAATTCTGAGCATCTTGTCGTTGAAACAGAAAAACTTTCTCTGGAGCAAAGACATGTCGAATCGAGAAAGTTTTCCCTAAAAACTAATTTTATATCTTGTTTGAATAAGAAACAGTATTTTTTATATATATATAGTTTAGACAAACGTTTTCATTTTAACAAGTTTTATATCATGAAACATGAAAGTTTCATGATATAAAACAAAATTTGAAAGCAAAATTTTCCATTAAAATAAGTAATAAAACCTGCAAAAACGCAAAAATTAATTTCTCAGTTTAACAAGAAACTTTCTCCTTTTCATGAGTTTTGCATAAAATCTAATTAAAACTAGAAAGTTTCTCATTACAACAAAAGTTCCTGTTAAAATTAGATAAAACTTGTTAAAATGTAAAGATTTATATCTTTGTTTAGTGAGAAACTTTCTGGTTGTTAATTTGCACCACCTTCTTGAGCTGTTTGTGCTGTGTGAAGAAATGCACCAAAAACAACCAATCAGAGATAGAGGGAGGGTCTTAGTGCTGCCCATCAACCACGTTCCTGATTGACAGCATTAAATGTGCTAATTGTGTTGCTAAATGTGCTAATGGCAGAGAAACAACTTACTGTTACAGGAAAACCATTTATCCGCTGACATCGTTGGCCATGCGAGTTAGCATTAGCATTAATAACAGGCTATGCTAGTTGTAGCATAGCAGAAAGTAAAGGCTAAAGCTCGATTTTCCTTCTCATCCCAAACTGTCAGGATATAGTGACAGTTTCAGAAAATATGTAAAAAAAAAAATTTTTATAAAAAAATAAATATTGCAGCTTTAATAATGATATTTCACTGTTTTTGTCATTTCCTGCCTCAAGCAGCGCTCCCTGTGGTCAGTAGAGGTATTGCAGGTTTAAAGACTGTTAACATTTGAATACTGAACTATCCGAGTTAAAAAGTTGGTTAAATAAACAAACATTTAGAGGAACAGAACAATAAAACTAGATGAAAATCGTTCGTGACTAAGCAGCGACTGCGTTGGGCTCTGATGACCCGGAGCGACGGCTCCACATCTCCTCCCTGTGAGTCTGACAGCCAGCAGCAGACAAAGAGGCACAGGTGAGACCCGCAGCGTCTCGTGGGACAATGGAGGGAATGTGAAACCCGGAGCCACGTCAAAGGAAAGCTGGGAGAGTCAAAGAGCGGCTTCACACAAAGCCGCCAGCACCGAGGTCAACATGCCGTCCTGCGGCTCTCGCTCCACCTGCCGGTCCACTGGACCCACCAGCCAGGAAAACAACTACAGCAGCACTTATAACAATGAAATTCATCTTAAAACCTTTGACCAAGCTGGAAATATTTCATTGAGGTTGACGGCTTTGGTCACACGATGACCTGGAGGTCAAGCAGAGACAGTAGTCAATGCGAAGCACTGCGTATTTAAAGGCGCAGCACGTCCAAACATGAATATATGTGAAAACTAATAAACTCTCACAGATGTCAGCAAATATAAATGAGGTCATTAATTTTGTTTCACCAGGATAAATCCCCGTTCAGATGAAAAAACCTTTTTTCAAAAGGCCAAAAGGCAGCAACAAATACAGCACAAAAAATACACTAAGAAAAATATGGAGCTACAAAAATGAGGTGCATGTCGTAGGACCTTTAGATTTAAAAGACATAAATGAGATTTGTTCTTGTTTTTCTGTTTTGTTTAGTGATTCTGCTCCAACATTAATAAAACGGTTCAATTTTCCCCGTTAAAATCCGACATAAAGCAATAAAAGGCGACATGGAGGCAGATCCAGTTCTGCTCTGGAAGAGGAACCGTTTCATTCTCCTGACCAAATGTTTTGATGCCAGTTTGTTTGTTAATGTTTTTATTCATGTTAATCTCGTATTAACATTATACTTGTCCATTTCGTATTATTATTATTTCTGTGTTATTTCTGTGAACATGATGGTTCTGGAGCGCCTGGTTAGCAGTGAAGCTAACTTTGGTATTTTAGCTCATTTTAGCTAACATCTGCTCTCTGAATGGAAGAATTTAAGGCCAACATGCTAGTGATGCTAACCCTCATCCTAATGCTATCTGTTAGCTCTCATGCTAACATTAGCCTTGAAGGTGAAGTGAGCATCAGGTTTGATATGTTAGCTATGTTTAGCACACTGAGTCACTGTGAGTCAACATGCTAGCCCACATCTTACTGACTTTGTTTTAGCTAACCTTAGCTAGCCACATCGCTACATTGTTCATTTTCAGCCTCGGTACCTCTGATTTGGGTCGGATCAGAACCATGGGATCCAACCCACATGCACTTTTGACTGGACTCTTGAATTCTCTGGTTTTGAATGATTCTTGTCAGTTGCAGATATTTTTATTTTAGTTTTCTGTTTATGTATCTTTTGGACCACCTGAATTTCCCCAATAATGGTCAATAAATGATCGTCAGGACAAACTGAGCCGGTTTGCAGCTGTTTCTGTGCTTCGCTGCTGATGTTCTGCTG